TGTTCAACATCTGGGTTCATCAATGTCCAATTATGGCCAGGGCACTGTCCCATTACTCTGACTTATACTTCCATAAGCTTGATCACTTGGCTTACTTAACTTGTTAATGATGTCATTGTCAGCTGATATCTTCATCATTAAATGCTCAAGAGGTCATTCTTGGGTGAAGTCAAAGTCTCCAGAAGCTGAGAGGTCATTTGCACTGTTTTCTTACTAATATTCTATGTCAGTACTAAGATTCAGATCCTAATATATATATATATATATATATATATATATAGAGAGAGAGAGAGAGAGAGAGAGAGAGAGAGAGAGAGCCTATATCGCCAAAGGTATTGGGCCAGCCCTCTAAATCATGTGATTCAGGTGTTCCAATTACCTTCATGGTCACAGGTGTATACAATCAAGCCCCTAGGCATGCAGACTGCTTCTACAAACATTTGTGAAAGAATGGGTCGCTCTCAGGAGCTCAGTGAATTCAAGTGTGGTCCCGTGATAGGTTGCCACCAGTACAATAAGTCTGGGGTGCTGCCCCTGAGCATGCAGGTGGAAATGGCAGTGTGGAGGACGGGGGCCACTTCCACATCCTTCCTGTTAAGGTCTGTGCCTTTGCCTGGGCAAAGGCACAGACCTTAACCAGACCAGGTATCGGGAAAAGGGTGTCTGCATGCCTGTTGAACTTGTAAAATATTTTGTATCTGCAGCGGGCAACCAACCTCTGTTCCAGCACTCTGAGTTTAGCCATCTCTAGGTAGGTTACTGGGTTGTTGTTCATGTAGACCTGTACTTCTGCTCCTGTGATGTATTCTTCAAACCTTTCGGTGATTTCCCACACCAGGGCTGGCAACTCTAGTTTAAAGGAGCTGTAGTTGTGAGGGTTACACTCCATGGGCCACAGGCTGCAGATAGAATATGCAATCTGCTCACACCCTTCTTATTCCTGCTCTAGTACAGCCCCTAGGCCTTGTAGACTTCTATCGGTGTACACCCAAAAGGGGTGCCAGTCCTAAACCACCTGTATTTTACTAGAAAATAAGAAAAGAAAAGGGGCACACAAGCCTTGTGCATTACCTCAATAAAAACAATAAAAAATTATAAAAAATATTAGATGTATACTCACAAACAACAAATGTAAACAGGCATATCATGACCAACAAAGGTTCATGGTCTGAAAAGGTGCACAAGTCCTACATGTGAAAAGGACACTTGGAAATGGCCAACACCCTGGGTTGGACCTGAGAGTTGCAATGATTGGGCACAGTATAGATGTCTGCAATAGAGGTCTGGTTAGGGAGTGGGATCAGGAAGGCTCTCAATGCTCAAACTTAGCCAGCAAGCCTTTTAGCATGTTCATACCCAGGACAATGGTCACTGCTGAACTCACTGGGCAGCAAGTCACCACCACCCCCACTCTTTCAATCACTTGGTCCTCTATCTGGGTACTCACCCAGGTGACATCCTCTACCAGGATTGGTAGGCTGTTGACCACTTTAAGGAATAGCCAAGAGGGGTCCAGTTGTTCTCTGGGCATAGAAGTCATACCCTATTATTGTCACCTCCAACCCTGTATCAATCAGACAGGGGACCTCCTGGCCATTTACCCAGGCAGTGGCTACTGGACTGGGTGCACTCATGGCTTCTGGTCTGGTTTGAACTTGGGTTGCTGGTCCTGCAGATCATCTCTCAACCCTGGGAGTTCCTAGTATAATGGTGGCCTGTGGTTACTTTTGGCTTCAGGCCTGCTGCAGTTCCTGGCTAACTACAGTGGGGATCGAAAGTTTGGGCACCCCAGCTAAACATTTGTATTAATGTGCATAAAGAAGCCAAGGAAAGATGGAAAAATCTCCAAAAGGCATCAAATTACAGATTAGACATTCTTATAATATGTCAACAAAAGTTAGATTTTATTTCCATTATTTACACTTTCAAAATAACAGAAAACAAAAAAATGGCGTCTGCAAAAGTTTGGGCACCCTGCAGAATTTATAGCATGCACTGCCTCCTTTGCAAAGCTGAGACCTGCCAGTGTCATGGATTGTTCTCAATCATCATCTGGGAAGACCAGGTGATGTCAATCTCAAAGGTTTTAAATGCCCAGACTCATCTGACCTTGCCCCAACAATCAGCACCATGGGTTCTTCTAAGCAGTTGTCTAGAAAACTGAAACTGAAAATAGTTGACGCTCACAAAGCTGGAGAAGGCTATACGAAGATAGCAAAGCGTTTTCAGATGTCAATATCCTCTGTTCGGAATGTAATTAAGAAATGGCAGTCAGCAGGAACAGTGGAAGTTAAAGCAAGATCTGGAAGACCAAGAAAAATATCAGACAGAACAGCTCGCAGGATTGTGAGAAAAACAATTCAAAACCCACATTTGACAGCACGATCCCTCCAGAAAGATCTGGCAGACACTGGAGTTATGGTACTCTATTCCACTATAAAGAGATACTTGTACAAATATGGTCTTCATGGAAGAGTCATCAGAAGAAAACCTCTTCTACGTCCTCACCACAAAAATCATCGTTTGAACTTTGCAAATGAACATATAGACAAGCCTGATGCATTTTGGAAACAAGTTCTGTGGACCGATGAGGTTAAAATTCAACTTTTTGGCCGGAATGAGCAAAGGTACGTTTGGAGAAGAAGGGGCACAGAATTTAATGAAAAGAACCTCTGTCCAACTGTTAAGCATGGGGTTTGATCAATCATGCTTTGGGGTTGTGTTGCAGCTAGTGGCACAGGGAACATCTCACGAGTAGAAGGAAAAATGGATTCAATAAAATTTCAGCAAATTTTGGATGGTAACTTGATGCCATCTGTGAAAAAGCTGAAGTTAAAGAGAGGATGGCTTCTACAAACGGATAATGATCCTAAACACACCTCAAAATCCATGGGGGATTACATCAAGAGGCGTAAACTGAAGGTTTTGCCATGGCCTTCACAATCTCCTGACCTCAACATAATTGAAAATCTATGGATAGACCTTAAAAGAGCAGTGCGTGACAGACAGCCCAGAAATCTCAAAGAACTGGAAGACTTTTGTAAGGAAGAATGGGCAAAGATACCTCAAACAAGAATTGAAAGACTCTTGGCTGGCTACAAAAAGCGTTTACAACCTGTGATACTTGCCAAAGGGGGCAGTACAAGATATTAACTCTGCAGGGTGCCCAAACTTTTGCAGACGCCATTTTTTTGTTTTCTGTTATTTTGAAAGTGTAAATAATGGAAATAAAATCTAACTTTTGTTGACATATTATAAGAATGTCTAATCTGTAATTTGATGCCTTTTGGAGATTTTTCCATCTTTCCTTGGCTTCTTTATGCACATTAATACAAATTTTTAGCTGGGGTGCCCAAACTTTCGATCCCCACTGTACCTAAAGCAGCCACACCTCCAGCACTTCCTGTCCTTGTCCGAGTCTCTCCTCAACAGATTCTCACATTAAAAGAAATGGGCCAGTTACTGTTTGAAGGTTGACATCTGCTTCACAGTGGCCATGCCTTGGGTGAGCTCCCTGAGGGCAGTCCGCATGGTCAAAAGAGGATATGGGGCTAGGACTTCCTTTCACGGGGGCATGGGTTACTGTATCTTAGTCATTGCCACCATAGGCTCTGCATCCTCCTGCTCCCACGCTACTGCCTCCACCACAGTGCTGTTAAAGGAAAAAGTGGGTAGCACTTTGATGTGCTCCTGCAGAGCTCTCTGAAAGGGGCTGGCATAGTAGACATGGCTCAAAAGCTCATATAGCACAAGATACCACAACATCACACAGAAAAACCAGGAAGGAGATACAAAGATGATGACATATGATGTCATAGATGATGAGGCTTTCCTCTGGCCAAAACAAAAGTGTGAAAATACATAAAAAAAAATCAGGAAAACTACTTTAAAAATGCATATTCACAAAAATAATTCAATACTGTCTGAACACGTACACAGTAATTTGTGAATAGGGGCTAACTGATACTTGCCTTCACCGCACTACCCCATGACATATTAAACCTCATTAATGAATGTGTCCCATGAGGGAAATCCCTCTTCTCTTCTTTGTCCATCTTACCTGGTCTCTTCCTCACATTATTGGGGTTCACAGTTGCTGCTTAATATGTCTTATTCTGGATTCAACAACAGCAAAATCAACATTGTGGTTTCCATTTTGTAGATGACCCAGTCTCACAAGATGTACACAGCCCTGTGGATGCTAAACATCTGTGTTTTACAAGCCAATTCACAAAGCATCAGGTGTTTAACAGATTCTGCACCTCTATGAATCAAATCACATCTGCTTGGCAGAAAGAATAGAAATACACAGCAACCAGCAGAGATTACAGATGGGCATGTACTGTATTATGATCAGTTACCAATAAAACTGACACTGAAAGGACAAATACACTGGTATAAAAGTGAAGTTTTGCTGTAAAATAACTTCCTCCAGTTATAAAGTTCCTCCATTATTAAGAGTCTTCCCATCATATCAGAGTTCCCTAATTACTGAGTCCCCCAATTACAGAGCCCCTCAATCACGCAGTGCCTTCTTCACATCAGAGCCCTACCTTTTGGCTTCAGCAGGGTGGCAGAGAGTGGTATGTGGAGCAGCTCTGGAGGAGAAGGACTTTCATCCTCTTACCACAGAGTCCTCCCATTACAGCAGTGCTCTTAACACATCAGAATCCCCCCATCACAGAGCCCCCAATAACAGAGCACCCCAATCACACAGTTCCCCCTTCACAGAGACCCCCAAACATACATTTCCATTCTTTACACTAGAGAACTTCCTTTTGGCTCCAGCAAGGCAGAGGGCAGGAAGTGGAGTAGGTCTGGAGGCATTAGACTTTCACCCTCTCCTGAATGCTGAGGGCTGCCCTACATCCCACTTGCCCTGGATTAGTGTCATGTGTTGCCGTGGTGTGGGCTGGCCAGTCGCCAACACCATAGCAATAAATGATGCAATGGGGGAGGTTTACTAAAACTGGAGAGTGCAAAATCTGGTGCAGCTCTGCATAGAAACCAATCAGCTTCCAGGTTTTATTGTCAAAGCTTAATTGAACAAGCTGAGGTTAGAAGCAGATTGGATACCATGCACAGCTGCACCAGATTCGGTGTGCTCCAGTTTTAGTAAATCTACCCCAATGTGCCCTGGCCCTAGTGCATCATTGGTTGTTATGGGGATGGCAACTCATGATGCTTATCCAGGGCAAACTGGGTCCCGTGCTCGTGGCAACCAAGAGGAACCCAAATGGTACCCTCGTTGAAAAACACTGGCCTATACCATGAGAAAAATGTAGTGAATTGACTCCTGGTGATCTCACTAGTGATGCAGCCAACAAGTCTTTTGGCTTTCTTTAATGCCAGGTTCGCCCACACATTGGCAACTCAGAGTGCTAATCCAAGGCAAACTGGGTCCCGTGCTCGTTGCACCCAAGAGGAACCCAAATGGTACCCTGGTTGAGAAACACTGGCCTATACCATGAGAAAAATGCAGTGAATTGACTCCTGGTGATCTCACTAGTGATGCACCCGACAAGTCTATTGGCTTTCTTTAATGTCAGGCCCGCCCACACCATTGCAACTCAGAATGCTAATCTGGGCAAACTGGGATCCATGCTCAGGGCACCCAAGGGGAGACCCAAATGGTACCCTGGTTGAGAAACACTAGCCTACACCAGAAGATTAATGAGAGAATTGACTCCTGTTGGTGATTTCACTAAAGATGCACCCAACAAGTCTATTGTTTTTCCCACAGACCATTTTGGCAATTTGGCAATCATCTGAACTAAGCAGCCCTGCATCTTTTTCCTCTTTATTTCTGGCAGACACTCTACCTCTAAGAATTAATTTTCATCAAGTGCCTCATTTTGCATTAAGAAATGCTGAACCGCAGTTTCCAAAAAATGCCAAAAAGTGACATTCACTAAATATACTAAAATCACATAGTATAACATTCCTGTATCAAACCATTTCACATACGTTTTGTCCCGAGTGCTTTGTCCTGTGCCCTGCCTGCATTTTGTCTGTTTTTTCTGCCTGGAAACTGAGAAACGTCCATGGTGTCCAAAAAGCGTCCCTTTAGGTCAAAAGCGGTTTTAGACCGGCTAGAGAACAGCGATAGTAAATCAGAACCACTTGCAGAATTGAGTGATAATGATTAGTGGGGAAATTCATCATCAGACACTGAAAACGATTTTGTGACTTTGCTCAGTGATGTGCGAACTTGGCGCTATATTTCAAATTTCAGTGTTTTTGGTTTGATTATATTATTGAATTAAATTTATTATATTATTATTTTTTATGATTATTTATTAAATTATAAATTATGATTTCGTGTTTCAAATTTTTAACATACCCGGGATGTTTACTAGACTCTTGTTTGGACAGATTTCAGTGAGTTATTCCTAAAAATTACAGGCCTACAATAAAAAAATACATATTTCCATGCAAAAAAATTTTACCGCTTTGAGCACAGAAATATGGACATAATCAGACCGCTAGGGAGGTTAAATTATTTATTTCAGGTACTTATATAGCACTGCAGCGCTTTACATATATATTGTACATTCACATCAGTCCCTAACCCTCAAGGGGTGTACAATCTAAGGGCCCTAACTTACATTCATACATACACATATTAAGGCCAATTTAGACAGGATCCAATTCACCTACCAGCAAGTCTTTGGAGTGTGGGAGGAAACCAGAGTACCCAGAGGAAACCCACACAGGCACAGGGAGAACATGCAAACTCCAGGCAGGTGGTGCCGTGGCTGCGATTCAAACCGATGACCCTAGTACTGCCAGGCGGAAGTGCTAACCATTTAGCCACTGTAAATGTCTTTGATACAGAGAGGTTTAGCTATTGCTGGCAGTTGCTTCATTTGCAGCTTACCAAATAAGTGTGATGCTCCATAGTAGACATTTAATCATCCATGTAGCGCTAGGCTAACACTAATTTACTCCTGCAAGCCTGCACTTACCAAGTGCCCTAAGCATTGGCAACAAAAGCTTTCCTTTCTGCACAATTATTGTGGTCCCAAACATTTCCGATTCGTTTTTCTATGTTCTTTTCCACAACCCCGTGTCTCCCAAATTCTGTATTTCTTTTATTCCCCTGTGGTGGGTCATCTGCATGGTTTAAAATGACCATCCTATTATAGACATCACTGACACTCTATAATCCTCTTATCTGTTATAGAGCTTTATACTTTAGCTCGGGCTTCAGTCTGTTTTCAAACAAATCTCCATATTGTATATTCCCTAACTGCAGAATTTCAAATACATCAAGCATTTCCTTATCTATGTGTGTCAGGGCCCAGCGTTCCATTACACGTGTGACAAATGGTCTTATAAGAGCTTCATACAAATACACCTTTGCTGTCCTTGACAGAAGATGGATTTTAAAGCAAACGTGCCATAAACAGGATCAATTCAAACTGAGTATATGAGGATGAAACAATGCCTAAGTAGAGGTTACCGTCAGTGAAATCGTATGTCAGAAACATCAGGAGATCAATAAAAGTAAAGTGAGACATTCAACTCTATCTATCTATCTATCTATCTATCTATCTATCTATCTATCTATCTATCTATCTATATATCCATATCTATCTATCCATATCTATCTATCCATATCTATCTATCTATCTATCTATCTATCTATCTATCCATATCTATCTATCTATCTATCTATCTATCTATCTATCTATCTCTATCTATCATCTATCTATCTATATCTATCTATATCTATCTATCTATCTATCCATATCTATATATCCATATCTATCTATCCATATCTATCTATCCATATCTATCTATCCATATCTATCTATCCATATCTATCTATCCATATCTATATCTATCCATATCTATATCTATATCTATCTATCCATATCTATATCTATATCTATCTAGCCATATCTATATCTATCTATCTATCCATATCTATCTATCTATCTATCCATATCTATCTATCCATATCTATCTATCTATCCATATCTATCTATCTATCTATCTATCTATCTATCCATATCTATCTATCTATCCATATCTATCTATCTATCCATATCTATCTATCTATCTATCTATCTATCTATCTATCTATCTATCCATATCTATCTATCTATCCATATCTATCTATCTATCTATCTATCTATCTATCTATCTATCTATCTATCTATCTATCTATCCATATCTATCTATCTATCCATATCTATCTATCTATCTATCTATCTATCTATCTATCTATCTATCTATCTATCTATCTATCTATCCATATCTATCTATCTATCCATATCTATCTATCTATCCATATCTATCTATCTATCTATCTATCCATATCTATATCTATCTATCCATCCATATCTATATCTATCTATCCATATCTATATCTATCTATCTATCCATATCTATATCTATCTATCTATCTATCCATATCTATCTATCCATATCTATATATCCATATCTATCTATCCATATCTATCTATCCATATCTATATCTATCCATATCTATATCAATCTATATCTATCTATCATATCTATCTATCTATCCATATCTATCTATCTATCTATCTATCTATCTATCTATCTATCTATCCATATCTATATCTATCTATCCATATCTATATCTATCTATCCATATCTATATCTATCTATCTATCCATATCTATCTATCCATATCTATCTATCCATATCCATCTATCCATATCTATCTATCTATCTATCTATCTATCTATCTATATCTATCTATCCATATCTATCTATCTATCTATCCATATCTATCCATATCTATATCTATCTATCCATATCGATATCTATCTATCCATCCATATCTATATCTGTCTATCCATATCTATCTATCTATCTATCTATCTATCTATCTATCTATCTATCTATCTATATCTATATCTATCTATCCATATCTATATCTATCCATATCTATCTATTCATATCTATCTATCCATATCTATCTATCCATATCTATCTATCCATATCTATATCTATCTATCTATCTATCTATCTATCTATCTATCTATCCATATCTATCTATCCATATCTATATCTATCCATATCTATATCTATCCATATCTATCTATCCATATCTATCTATCCATATCTATATCTATCCATATCTATCTATCCATATCTATCTATCCATATCTATCTATCTATCCATATCTATCCATCTGACATGTGCGAGTCGTTACGTTGCGAATCCATATTCGGACAACATTTTCGTTATTTCGGAGGTATCCGAATTTCTGAATCACAATAAAAAGGAATTTCAACGAATCCAAAATAAAATGATCACAAAACGAATTATTCAAATTTGAAAATGAATTTGAAAATTAAAATTAATTCAAATTTGAAAAGGAAACATATTGCAATAAACACAGTAAGGTATAAAAGTGAACTACGATTATGATTCCTGCTTAGGCTGATTTATAGAATAGAAAAGAATAGAATAGACTGAAACAGAATATAACAGAGCAAAGAATAGAAAAGAAAATAATAGGATAGAAATAAAAGACCAGAATGGACTAAAATAGAATAGAAAAGAAAAGAATAGAAAATAAAAGAATACGATAGACTAGAAAAGAATGGAAAAAAATAGAATAAAATAGAATGAATATAGCCGTCTTCTGAATTTAGAATTTCGAAAAAACGTCTTTATTTGTTCTACTTTATTTTATTCTCTAATAATTTATTTGAGTTTTTCTATTTTCTCTGCTTTACACTGCTCCACCACTATATCCCTGACCTGTCTGGTGTGTTCCTTGACCTTCATGATGCTGTTTGTTCACTAATGTTCTCTAAAAAACCCTCTGAGGGCTTCACAGAACAACTGTATTTATACTGTGATTAAATTACACACAGGTGGACTCTGTTTACTAATTAGGTGACTTCTGAAGGAAATTGGTTCCACTAGATTTTAGTTAGGTGTATCAGAGTAAGGGGGCTGAATACAAATGCACACCACACTTTTCAGATATTAATTTGTAAAAAAAAATTTGAAAACCATTTATCATTTTACTTACACTGCACAATTATGTGCCACTTTGTGTTGGTCTATCATATAAAATCCCAATAAAATACATTTACGTTTTTGGTTGTAACATGACAGAATGTGGAAAATTTCAAGGGGTATGAATACTTTTTCAAAACACTGTATATGTGTAGCTTACCTTTACACATGAGAACCCCCATATGGCCCCATGGGCTAATATTTTAAAGTGTTACTAAACCCAGGACCCTGCATTCACTATATCTGGTCTCCCCGGACCCTGCATTCACTATATCTGGTCTCCCGGGACCCTGCGGTCACTATATCCGGTCTCCCCGGATCCTGCATTCATTATATCTGGTCTCCCCGGACCCTGCATTCATTATATTTGGGCTCCCCAGACCCTGCATTCACTATATCTGGTCTCCCCGGACCATGCAATCACTATATCTGGTCTCCCAGGACCCTGCATTCACTATATCTGGTCTCCCCGGACCCCGCATTCACTATATCTGGTCTCCCAGGACCCTGCATTCACTATATCTGGTCTCCCCGGACCCTGCATTCACTATATCTCGTCTCCCTGGACCTTGAATTCACTATATGTGGTCTCCCCGGACCCAACATTCACTATATCTGGTCTCCCCGGACCCAGCATTCACTATATCTGGTCTCCCTTGACCCTGCATTCACTATATCTGGTCTCCCCGGGCCCCGCATTCATTATATCTGGTCTCCCCGGACCCTGCATTCACTATATCTGGTCTCCCCGGACCCTGCATTCACTATATCTCGTCTCCCTGGACCTTGAATTCACTATATGTGGTCTCCCCAGACCCTGCATTCACTATATCTGGTCTCCTCGGACCCTGCATTCACTATATCTCGTCTCCCGGGACCCTGCATTCACTATATCTGGTCTCCCCAGACCCTGCATTCACTATATCCGGTCTCCCGGGACCCTGCATTCACTATATCTGGTCTCCCCGGACCCTGCATTCACTATATCTGGTCTCCCCGGACCCTGCATTCACTATATCTCGTCACCCCGCATTCACTATATCTGGTCTCCCCTGACCCCGCATTCACTATATCTGGTCTCCCTGGACCCTGCATTCACTATATGTGGTCTCCCAGGACCCTGCATTCACTATATCTGGTCTCCCAGGACCCAGCATTCACTATGTCTGGTCTCCCACAGTACACACAGCATGGAAGTGCAATTATTTTAGTAAATATAAACTACTAAATACCTTTTCTCATCAGCAGTTAGAGCAGTCTTGTGGCTTCTATCAGTGTACAGCAGAGCACTGGTTAAAGCTTATAGGAGAAGTTTTCTTTCTGCTCTAGGAGGATGCAGAACCCCTAACCTCTTTCTGGACAGTGCTGATTGGCCCTGTGCTGATCACATGCACTCTCCCAAGAAAAAAAAAAACTCTCTAGCAATACCCTCTAAACTGAGCATGTGCATTGACCACAGGTTCAATCTGTCTTATCAGGTGGACATTTGAACAAGAGGAGGTGCAGAGAAGACAGGATCAAACAGCCTTTTTACAGAATGCAGAGGATGAACCCCTTAGGTTCCACAGTGAGTATAACAAGCACGCTTTACTGCATATACAGACTGATTGTACTGTCGTGGGTTTAATAACACTTTAAACCTCAGGGCAAACTCCTTAAATTTTTGTGGCATGGAAAAAATTGGGCACCAGTCACTTTAAAAAAAGTTTATGAAGGCACAATAAAAACTCAGGAGAGGGTTAAGGCAGGCAGAACAGTGGCTAAGTGGTTAGCACTTCTTCTTGGCAGCATTAGGGTCGTTGGTTCAAATCCCAACCATAGCCCCACCTGCATGGAGTTTACATGTTCTCCCTGTGTCTGTGTGGGTTTCCTCCCACACTCCAAACACATGCTGGTCAGTTAATTGGCCCTAGTTTGTGTATATATGAATGAGTTAGGGACCTTAGATTGTACACTCCTTGAGGGTTAGGGACTGATGTAAATGTACAAAATATATGTAAATTGACAGCACTATAAAAGTACCTGAAATAAATAAGGACCCCCCAAAAAATCTGTAAAAAATTACTCTAGCAGCAGTCAAAAGAAATGACCTTTAAACCAAAAGTGCCAATCTGTACGCTTCAGGCAGCACAAATATCTTTTCAGCTGAACCACCAGGCTTCCTGCAAAATCCAACAAGAGGCAACCTGTACCTAGCTCCCCAGGACACCTTTTAGCAGCAAAGTGCAACAAAAAGAAAAACTGTCAATGATTTAACCTTTCCATGCCCTGTCCAAAAGTAAAAAAAAAAAGGTTTTGGGCTCCATGCACACTAGCGTTTTTTTAAGCTCCTAGAAGCTATTATCAGCATATTTTTCTGCTTCTAGAAGCTAAATAGTGTTCTCCTATGTGTCCATGCACACTACTTTAGGCTGCTAGCATCTTTTAAGCTTCAGCGTCTAGGAGCAGAAAATAAATAGTTTTTGTAGAGTTTTCTTGGAGCGTTTTTCTAGCAGAAAAAAAGTGCTAAATGTTCCTAAACACTGTTAAACGTTACTAAAACACTCCTAGCAGCTTTTTTCTTTTTCCTCTACACGTACTGTAAAAAATGCTAATGCTCCTAAATGCTGCTGAACGCTACTAAAACGCTACTAAAAACACGTATTTTATCCAGCATTTTTTCTGCCGTTTTTTTGTTTTAAAAAAAAAAATGCTAATGTGCATGGAGCCCTAAGATTTACCTTTAGAGATACATTAACGTGGAGCTCCACTCAAAAAGGGAAGTTTCGCTTTAAAGATTGGTCCCCCGCTCCCCATTAAGGATTGGCACCTTTGGGGAGCGGGTACCTGAATTTGACAGGTACCCCCTCCCACTTCCACTGTGATCGCCCAGGCAATTGGAAACAGAAGTTGTCCTCCTACCCTCCCTTCCCGAAGTCTTGTGGGACATGTGACAGGTCCCAGAAGACGACGGGACCATTCAGGAAGTGCAGCGCCTCTCGCGCATGCGCAGTGGGTACCCGGCTGTGAAGCCGCAAGCTGTCACAGCCGGGTGCCCACACTGAAGATGCCGGCGCCTGGAATACAGGACGGCCAGTGAAACAGGCTGCGGCAGGGGCAACGTGGGATCGAGGGACAGGTAAGTGGCTGTTGACTTTTATTTTATGACAGTGTGAGTGGAACTCCACTTTAAAAAAAAAAAGTTTAAAAAGAAAAACTGTCAATGATTTAACCTTTCCATGCCCTGTCCAAAAGTAAAAAAAAAAAGGTTTTGGGCTCCATGCACACTAGCGTTTTATTAAGCTCCTAGAAGCTATTATCGGCATATTTTTTCTGCTTCTAGAAACTAAATAGTTTTCTCCTATGTGTCCATGCACACTACTTTAGGCTTTTAGCATTTTTTGAGCTTCAGCGTCTAGGAGCAGAAAATAAATAATTTTGTAAAGTTTTTTTGGAGCGTTTTTCTAGCAGAAAAAAAAAAAACGCTAAACGCTCCTTAACACTGTTAAACGTTATTAAAACACTCCTAGCAGCTTTTTTCTTTTCCCTCTACATGCTCCTAAACACTGCTGAATGGTACTAAAACGCTACTAAAAAAACGCTATTACCAGCATTTTTTTATCCAGCAATTTTTCAGGCATTTTTTTATCTTAACCTCCCTGGCGGTATTCCTGAGTGTAGCTCGGGGTAAAGTTTCAGTACCACAAGCGGTAACCCCGAGCTACACTCAGGAATACACTGCAGCGTTGCTCCGGGATCTCTTCTGCACTTACCTTGTCCTGCACTCCCGCGATGCGTCCCCTGCAGTGTCCCCTGTAATGTTCTCCGGCCGATGCCGGCATCTGTCATCTGGGTTCTGTCCCCTGCGAGCGTCGGGACGTACGGGGGACGGAACTGGCGGGAAATTTGAAAATTTTAAAAGTGACATTCACTAAAATCACATAGTATAACATTCCTGTATCAAACCATTTCACATACATTTTGTCCCGAGTGCTTTGTCCTGTGCCCTGCCTGCATTTTTACCGTTCTTTCTGCCTGGAAACTGAGAAACATCCATGGCATCCAAAAAGCGTCCCTTTAGGTCAAAAGCGGTTTTAGTCCGGCTAGAGAACAGCGATAGTAAATCAGAACCACTTGCAGAATTGAGTGATAATGATTCGTGGGGGAAATTCATCATCAGACACTGAAAACAATTTTGCGACTTTGCTCAGCGATGTGCGAACTTGGCGCTATAGTTCAAATTTCAGTGCGTTTTTGGTTTGATTATATTATTGAATTACATTTATTATTATATTATTATTTTTTATGATTATTTATTATAATTTATGATTTCGTGTTTCAAATTTTAACATATTTGTTACATGTTTACTAGACTTTTGTTCGGACAGATTTCAGTGAGTTATTCCTAAAAATGACAGGCCTACAATAAAAAAAACTACATATTTCCATGCAAAAAAATGTACCGCTTTGAGCACAGAAATATGGACATAATCAGACCGCTAGGGAGGCTACAAAAACCTGCTAATGTGCATGAATCCTTAAGTTTTACCTTTAGAGATACAGTAAATATTCCAGAACAGCGGCGGACTGTCAACTCATGGGGCCCCCGGGCAATAAGGGATCATGGGGCCCCTGTGTCCTTGCCCAAACTCAAAAACGCCTATGAAAAAGGTACCAGGGGCATCTCATGGGGCCCCCTACTGACCCCGGGCCCTCGGCAGTGCCCGAGTTTCCAAATGGTCAGTCCACCCCTGTTCCAGAACCTTTTTTCATGCATTAGGCCTCGCTAGCACTAATGGTGCTCTCTGAAGACAGCATTTTGCAGGATAAGGGGGAATGGTTGGCAGGCGGCTCAACTATGGCATAATTGCATGGTTTTACTGCACCCCCAAATGAGGCCTAAAAGGGTAAAATGATCGGCATCTATTAGCAACAAAGACATTGGCCTTTGCAGACACTTATTATATGAAATCCATCATTTCTATCATTTCTCACTTAGGAAGGCATTGATGTCTGTAGAATGGATTTGGTTTTCCTATAGAGCTGTAGAGACAAAATTTCTAAAAAGCTTTAAATAATTCAGGTTATTACTCCATCATAGAGCTAAATAGAGATCTAAATGTGTTCTCTAGCAGATTAATGTGTTTGTCCTTTAAAATTACACTGAACAGTATCTGTTTTTTCGTATACAGCTGAAGTGGCTGAACAGGATACATCACATTCGGGGGATTTACGGTGTGTTCCCTTTATGGAAGTAAAATGTTATTGTACCTGCTTGTTACAGGAAAATATACAAGCTTTCCAGGGGAGAAGACAGACGTCAAGGCTGACCTTTCTGTTTGACATCTTTTCCATCTCAGAACCACACAGTTCTATCTGACGTTGGGAGACGAGAGTAAGCGATGGGGCTATTACACAGCGAAACTTAACAATCAAAGCTACTCCTGGTGGGCTGCAGCCAAAAACAACATTAGTGAGCCTTGATTCACAGTCATTACACAGGGGGCAATCAGAAAGATTTCCCACAGCAAATGATCTCTTCGAACTTTAAGTCCACCTTTGATTATGTATTCGGTGATAAATGCAGAATATGGACATTACATATTTTACCAACACAACTGTGATGTGATTTATTATGCACTTTATGTTATCATTTGGCAGATTTCCCTGTTTGTTCTGATTTCTGGGAAAATTTTCATTTATTGTGAGTACTGCCTGCTGCGGGTTGGAGATTTCCCCACCTTCCATTTAACAGTCCATTCATCAACCCTAAGGCTGTCCATACAATATAAAATTTTCTGTCCAATTTCCTTTAGATTTACCTTCAACTATGTAGTGCAAGAGCCTGCCTAATTGGATACAACTGAAAGTGTTGTTAGTTTTGACCTCATATTATATGGTTTTTGGTAAATCTAAACCAAAAGTCTCAAGAAAATTGTATAATGTATGGCCAGCCTAACACTAAGGGCTCATGTACACTGCAGCTGATAAACTCACATTTAGGAGCTGTTCAGTGTTTTTTTTCAGCAGCCCCTGAACCAGGGGCGGACTGACCATTCGAGAACTCGGGCACTGCCTGAGGGCCCGGGGTCAGTAGGGGGCCCCATGAGATGCCCCTGGTACCTTTCTTTGGCTTTTTCATAGGCATTTTTGGGTGTGGGCAAGGATTAAGGGGCCCCATGATCCCCTGTTGCCCAGGGGCCCCATGAGTTGTCAGTCCACCCCTGCCCTGAACTCTCCCTAATGTTTTCCTATGTGTCCATGTACACATTGTCGTTTACAGTCGTTTACAGGCATTTGAGTTTACAGTCATTTTTTTGAACGCAGAAAACTTGATTTCAGCAGTCGATTTTATCAGCGTTTCAAACGCAAAACGCTTGTAAATGCGGCTAAATGCGGCAAATCGTGTTGATAAGCGTTTGCAAATTTTTTTTTAACACTTCCAGTTCCCGATGCTGTCCAGAGCCGTTTTTTATAATGAAAAATGCATGCAAAGCATTTTCAAGGTACTCAGATGGACAAAACACTGAACACAGGATGTTCCTACCAAGCTTGTCACACATGCTAATGACCAATTCACACCTCAGACCTCTCCCACCCTTGGAAACAAAAGATATGTTAATGACCACTGTGACAGGATGAATGGCGAGGTGATAGAGGGACTCTATGTGTCACCTCGCATATGCTCATACCTGACCGTTTAGGTGGAGTCCACTCCGGGTTTTCGGGGCCACAGTTAAGCAGGTGGGTCCGGACCAGAGTTTGGGCTCCACTGATGACCACCAACAGGTGGTATAAATAAGGCAGGGCTGGAGCAAGGAGTTGCTCGTGGCCTGGGACTCAGAGAGGTGTTCTGAGAGAGCTGTGTGTATGGACTATACCTGCAAGAAAAGGTTTGCTGTTACTTTGTTTTGGTGACAGGGAGAAGCCCTTCACCTCTGAGAGAGGAATCATCTGCTGTTTAGTTAGTGCCTGGATGGCAAGGGTTTATTTTGATGTTTTGTTTATTTTGATATTTCTTGCAAACCTTTTTAATAAAACTGACATCCAGTCAGATTTTGACGAAAGCCTGCTGTGCGGTCTAGCTTTGTCCCAGGGAAGGAGATCCCCCACCTGAGCTAACCCCACACCACCCACACCTCAAATTCCCCCTGCCAGGTGACCTTAATGACTCCCTCCACCAGACACCTTTCCCACTATTGGAAACAAAAGAAATGTTAATGAGCAACTCACACCTAAGCTAATCTCAACACATACTGCTGTCTCTGCTTCTACTCTCTGCATTTCTCTGAAACAATCTGAAATAGTTAATAATTTACTACTTTCCAGTGCATTTTGGGCATTTGGGAGGTTCTCCTGTGCTTATGTTTAAAAAGCGCTTCTAAATGCAAACGCACATAAACGCACATAAACACGCATAAATGCGGTATGCAAACGTGGCTAAACAGATGGTTTTTAACCTACGTTTTCCACCAGTCAGTTTCCATCATTCAGAAGTGTCCCGTGTACATGGGGCCTAACACCTCCCATAACAATCTCCTCCAACCAACTGTAGCGCCACCTCCGAAGGAGTCGCTTTGTACCTTTGGGTTCTTTGTTCTGAGCCTGGGCTCCAAAAATAATCTCAGCCCCTCTGACACACCTGGTTGAATAAAAATCACTGCAAGCACGAGTAAAGAGATACGTGTAAAATGCCTGTAACCTGCATGTGGGTTACTACCAATAAAAAGACACACACATCTGTTAAGGGATAAATGCTCTTAGGACTCATGTACACTGCAGCTGCTAAATTGACGTTCAAGAGCTGTTCAGCATTTTTTTTTTCAGCAGTCCCTGAACTCTCCCTAATGCTTTCCTATGTGTCCATGTACACATCTTTGTTTACAGTTATTTACAGTTGTTTAGACTTGGTTCACATCGGTGCGGGTGGTGCCGCTGCTGATCCGCACGAAAATCCATGCAGCCGCACCACCCGCACAGAGAAATGCGAATCCGCAGACGGCTGCCATTAATTCTAATGGCACGCTGCCCGCACTGGAAAACACAACTGTACTGGGAACCGAGGTGGGCTGCGTTTTCAGAAGAAGTGCAGGGACTTCTTCCCTGCGTGTCACGGGGCTTGGGAGTCCATTCAAATGAATGGGCACAGCCGCATATATGTGAACCAGGACTTTCAGGCAGTTGAGTTTACAGTCTTATTTTGAACGCACCAAACTTGCGTTTAGGAGTAGATTCTACCAGCGTTTCAAATGTTTGTAAATGTTTGTAAATGCTTGTAAACGCGGTTAACCGCGTTTATAAGCGTTTGCACTTACAAGCTTTTGTAACGGTTCCATATCCAGAAGCTGTCTAGAGCCTTTTTTCATCATCAGAAATGCATGCAAAACATTTTCCATGTATTCAAATGGAACCAGTACACCAGCACAGTCAGTTTCAGGTTTTGCGTGAAGGAAACAATGGTAGAACGTGCCGCATTATTCTCATGATGGGATCCATAGTGAATACAACCAGAAAAGACAGGTCATCTCAACACATACTGCTCCCTGCTTCTGCTCTCTCTATTTCTCTCAAAATGTCTGAAATAGTTAATTATTTACTATTTTTCAGTGCATTCTGGGCATTTGGGAAGGTCTCCTGAGGTTATCGTTTAAAAACACTTCTAAAGACAAACGCGCATAAACGCGGTATGCAAACGTGGCTCAATTGATGTCTTTTATCCTATGTTTTCCAGCAGTCAGTTTCCATCATTCAGAAGTTTTCCAAACGTCCCGTGTACATGAACCCTTAATCTATTGATATGGCTTAGATTAAATGCAAAATTGAACAGAAATGAGAACACTGCAGATACACAGTGTGCTAAAGAGGATATTAACTATGCCAAATGGACAAATATTAAGTATTATACTACTAACTATAATCAAAGGGGTGGTTAGTAGATCAG